GTTTTAATTTATAATTGAAACGCTTAAAACAAACTTGGCATTTCTTCAATATATGTATTGCCAATATAAAATTAAAAAAAAAACCATAATATAGTATAATATGCAAAGAAATAAAAATAGGGTATTGTAAATGGCAAGATGCCATGGTTCATAAAATTACAGAGATGGGCATTTAAAGAAGAAAATAAAGTATTAAATAAAGAAACTTGACAAAAATAAAACTACATATTAAATATAATATTAGATTAGTATTATTAGGTATAGTATCGATTTGTACTGAGAACCTGCTCTGCAGCGTTCAATTTTTGAAGTAATACTGTAAGGTTAGTTGAACAACGGTTTGTTGGATGTTTGGATTGTTATATACTGAGGAACTCTTAGTATTTTTATTCCGAAGTGGTTACCTCCATTACAGAGAAATGACAGTGATTCTACTCTCTTAACACTCTAGACCAGGGGTCGGCAACCTTTTTAACCACACGGGCCATTTTTTTTTTCAATTGTTCATCAAGGGCCACATTAAAAAAAAAAAATGACATATTATGATATAATACTTATAATTGTATTGCTATTATGAAACGGTTAGATTAGATTTTATTTATAAAGGAAAAAGAATTATATAATATTGAAAATTATATGAAAAATGTTATTGAACAAAAGTAAAACATAAAAATTAACCACCTTTGTGCGGGCCATCAAAAATTGCTCTGCGGGCCGCGGGTTGCCGACCCCTGCTCTAGACAATCGCAACCTGCGAGTTAGTGAAAGATGCTCATCTGTGATCGAGGTCTGAATCAGAGACAATGGGCGTCGGCAATTTTTCTACTCGCTCAATATGCCTAATAAATAATAACTATTTAAAAATAAGTGAGAAGATGCGGTCTAAATTTTAATGTAGGTATAATATTAAAAAAAAAATTAGATAATTGTAGGCCGTATATAGTTATTTGTTTATTTACTGATTAGGAGTATTAGATAAACTCGATTTCAGATTTGGGTTTTAAAATGTACATCTCTAATCTGTCCTATAGATAGTTTATAAACATAAGTAATAAGACACTTAATTGTGCATTTTTTTAAATTATAAACGTAATATTAGCTGCAACTACTAACTAGAATACTAGACCTTATATTTTGGGATTATTTAAATTATACAAATTTTAGGTAGATATGATACAATATTTCTAATACCTAATAATAATTATATTAATTAACTATATTTAGTAATAAATAACTAGTGTCTATATTAAGAAATTGCCCTGTCTTCAGTTCTAAATATGTAATCATATCTTCATTTTTTAATTAATTTGATAAAACGTTTTTATTGTATCATATTTAATCAGGGAGGGATTTGCACACAGGCTACATATTAAACTGCACCAGAGCTCTCACTATACATCATACACTTAAAAAAAAAGAAACTTTCAATAACAAATTTGCATTATTTTCACCTATACGGCTATACACTAGATGAGCTTAGGGACATAAAAATTCTAAATCTGACCTTATGTTTAATAGTGATACCCAAATTTGAAATCATTCTTGTATTATCCTATAATTTGTAGCTATTTTTTATTCCTCACATTATCGAAATCAATACCTAGGTAAACTAGTTTAAGTACAAAATTAATCAAAGTATTTGAGATTGTTAAGCAGTACCTGTTGCAGTAGTTTAATAGCTTATAATCATTGTAGATTTCATTAAAATTTTAATACTATTTTTTTATTTATTGTTTGGTTTCATTAGTTAACTATCTAAGTTATTACTGTAAAAACTATAGCTAAATCAATAAAGAAAAATAAATATGATTAATAATTAAAATGTTATATTATTTACAATACTGTCAATACTTATAGATAAATTATTGATTATAAATCTTAAATGGTTTGTATTGTTTATTTGTTTGTTATTTCATATCTCATAATAGTCATAAAAGGTAGGTACATAGTCGTCATGCATCATCTCTTACATAATTATAAGTATTATTGTGTTAGCCACCATTAGGTAGGTATATATTTATGTATATGTACCTACTTATAATAGTCATTCATCAAATATTGCCATCCCTATTCCATTCTTTAATTTTAAATTTATTAAATTGATTTTTAAAATTTTTGAATATATCATATTTTCAAATAGGTAAATACCAAGTTACATTTAATGAGTGTCTCATTGCAAAATAATTCTGGTTAGATTTTAAAATATTAATCAACAACATTTGATAGGTTATTTGGAAAGTAATAATTAATAACTAATAATATACTTGGTACCTATCTACATACATAGTTAAATTTAAATACTCAGATAAGATTACATGTATTACCAATATTTAATGTTTTTTTTTTTTATTATTATTATTATTTTATTTTACTTGACTTATTAACCAAACTACTTCTGTTTTTTAAACATACCTGTTATATCACTTATATCCTTACTTCCTTTATAGTGGCTAAGCATACACAAGTACATGACGTTTAACAACTCAGAAACTATATACTTTGTTGAATCTATACTTAGATAGGTGGGTAACAATAAAAAATGTCTTTAAACAAAACATAACATTGAACAGAGTATTAGAAATATCAGAATATACTAAGCTATTCCCTAAGCTTAATGTTTAGAAAAAAAATATTTAACCAATAGGTTTTATATTTTAAAACGTATACTTTTATATGGGTACCACAACTTGACACTTGATACACTGGTAAAATATTTAACGATTTGCATTATTTTAAATTTATAATTATTGCTCGTATAATATTCTAAATAAATAAATAGAAATAAATCATATTTATTTTAAATGGTAAATATATATTATGAAACTACAAAAACAGGAAATTTTAAAATAAAATACAAAAATATACGCGGTGGCGCGATCTGGTTACCGCAAATAGTAGTGGTCACGTTCGTTGTTCTTTACAATTGCACAGGTCATAATTTATTATAGAAGACAGTTGACGCCATTCAACTGTACTACTAGCGTTACGAGTGGTCAACATACATATTAATGTTATGATATTGTTAATATTGTTTTACCATTGATTATAAACATTACGTACTGCTCAGTGCTCAGTGCTCAGTACTCACTGGGCGGTTTTACGGCGACGTACATATAATTCTCGGTAGATGGCGATAAGAGCCAACAATACTAATAAATATTAAATTCGTATTTCATTCCAACCGCCGTAACGCCTGTAACTATGATGGAACGGGGTGCAGTTGGTGCAGGACGTGCAGGTAGCCAGGTATTACTGGTTTTTAATTTTGATCGTGACTTGTCGTGACGTTCACCATTCTGACGTATTTACTGTTTGCTATTTTTATTTTGAAATAGTTAAATATTAAAAATATTTATTATTTGGCGCAGGGTAAAACGGTCTATGACAAAAGCGATACGGGCTAATATTAATAATTATATTTAATACGATTTTCACCGATTTATATTTTGTATATTTTTTTTAACAGTGAAAATAAAATTGTAAAATATTGTAAACAATTATAATTTACCGAAATTACTACACAGTACACAGTTAGGTGTATGATATTACAGTATTATTAACACCCTTCTGATCAATAGGTATTTAACATAAAATAGTTTGGTATTTTAGTTACTAAATTGATACAACGTAATATTAAGTCCTGAGTTGTTTACGATGATAAGTGTTAACCTATATTTGTATTGTAAAATTCTTATTTTATCCTATTTTAATGCTAGTTAATTAATTAATGGTCGAAATTGTGTAAAATTAGAATACAAATAATTAAATATATTTAAAAAATTTATTAATTAGTAGGTTAATTAGGTATGATATAAGGGTGGTTATTCGTCCCGGATTTCCCGAGACGTTACCGGCTTATGTCTTCGTGTTTCGGACAAAGTTTCTTGGACACCAATTTGCATTGGTTTTGAAGTTTGAACTATTGTATAGTAAGTAGTAACGTCCCAGAATTTGAAGTTGTTTTCATAATTCTATTACTTGGTTATCGGTTTTATTTTAAGCAAAGCCTAATCATAAATAATAAATATTAGTTATTAAAATAATATTTGATAACGAACGTTGGCGGTTGGCACGTATGACGCTTTCTAAATTTAGTCAGCCTACTGTCTTTGGCTTCTGATTACATTAATTTTACAGTCGGGAAAACCATATCATGATTTTTTAATTTCAAGAATTAAGATGACGAAAGATAATATTTAATATGTATTTAATATAAAATTATAATGTGTAGTTCATTAGTTTGTGATTATAGTTTATACACATATCACACTATTCACTACATCAGTCATCAGTAACCATTTATTTGTCGACAATGCAAGTCGTAGTGTATATGAAATCTACGGATTGTCTCGCACGTAATTTGCACTTGAAAGTGTCGTAATTTTACTTCATTTTTTTATGTAGTGACTACCTATGCCGCTTTAAATATCATAATTTTGAAGAGCAGTTGCAAAATTATTTTCCATTTATTAATATAATTTATAATTTTAATGTCCCGGACTTCTTAAAACTTAATCTGGTTATCCTAGGTATAATATATTTTAATTTTAAAACAATAATAAGACATAAAGTACCAACGATTATTTTGTCGTTTAGTTATTTTAAAATTTCCCTCCATTTACATAATAATTGTTTACATTTTTCGTATAAGTAAGCTTTATTATTTGATAATACAATATTTTAATACAAAATTTATGATATAGTTTCAAGTGTTTCGAACTTTCGACCAATTTGAAGATAAATAAATCATTGTTCTAATTATTATCGTACGAACAAACCAATGAATAAATAAAATATTTTTAAATAATGTAGATGTCTCTCTTGTTGATAAATTTAATTCGTAATATTTACAATTTATATTGTACTGATATTATTGATAGTGACTGTGTTATCGGAATGTCGGATGATAATGTTCGTGACCCATCAGTGATTTTTAAAATAAATGAACACTAATTTCGTCTTTACCCGTCGATGATCACATGATTTTATTGCTCATTTAGGTAATGGAGTGTTAATGGACAATGTCGTCGAAAGTACCGACGGGCCCCCGTGAAGTCACGATAACGAAGAGCGTCACCGGCTTCGGATTTAATGTTCGTGGTCAAGTTAGCGAAGGTGGTCAACTTAAAAGTATAAATGGTCAACTCTACGCTCCTTTACAGCATGTCAGTGCTGTACTTGAAGGAGGAGCAGCGTATGACGCAGGGATTCGAAAAGGAGACAGGATCCTCGAAGTGTAAGGCTTAAGCTATTTTGGGTGTTTCTTTTCGTATTTTTTTGAGCCATTAAATCATTTATGAAATTTGAATTCCTATTAATATTAATTTGAGGTGTAAAAAATATTAAAACTTCATAATGTTGTATTTGGTGCTTAGAAACAATGTGAATGTTGAAGGATCAACACATAAACAAGTCGTGGATCTGATTAAATCGGGCGGTGATGTGTTGACATTGACTGTAATTTCTGTCACACCTCAAGTATGTTAATATTTTTATTATATTATGTTCTTAGATAGATATTAACCAAACACATTTGAAATATGCTAAGCTGTTTTTTAAAATTATTGATAAAATTTTATGGTCAATAACAGATAGAAATTTTGACTTCAAGTTTTTCTTGAATTTAATATTGGTTAACAGAATTTAATTATAGAACAGCTGTATAAATACAATATTTATAACTTATTATTAAAAAATAAATTAATGCAAAGTTAGTATTCTATAATCAATAAATAGTAATAGTTAAATTTTTACTGATTTTTTTCAAACAATCAGTTATGACCTGATTACATTAAATCTTCATTATGTCTGTTTTCAATATATAACATACCAAATTTTTTGTTTAGAATTATAAATTTTACTTTTATTTTTAAAATTATAGTGATTTGACTTAAAATTAAATTTAAAGGTAAGTATATTATCTAGAGCCCCACTTAGGCTTTTTATAATATTTTAGTTTTGAAACAAGTTATAAGCATTTTAAATTTTTTAAAAACTTATATAGTTTAAAATTGCTGTTGTATTTAAAATGTAAAATAAAACCTGGTATGACCTAGAAAATAGTTTTACTTTTAAATTTGATGATAGATTATTTAATATTTAAATAGTAGAGTTCAGTGAATTATTCTGAATGTATATTTTAATATTAAGTATATTGTGTATTTTTAAATTGAAAAAATATATGGTGGTTTAATACTAAAATATTCTCTTGCAGATACATCAACATTAGTTTTACTTTTAAATATTGGTGTCCTAAGTTTGTATCTTTATCTTATAATCTAGGTAAACAATTTATCAGAATTAAACATTCTTATTTAGATAAGTAATTGTTAAAAAATAATAAATTAAAACAATAATTTGTGTAAAGTAGATTCTTAATAACTGCTTAAAACTGTAAGAAAATTAAAAATATATAAAACTGGAAGATTTTTAAAAATGTTGTGCATAGTAGCTCATAATAAAGAACACGGTGGTATGTGACTTTTTTCAGTCATTAACTAATATACTTTAATGATAATCTTAATCATCACTTATTTTGGTTACTAGTGTTGTGGTTGTCACATCTTTTTGTTTCCATTTTAGATATGACATGAGTGTAATAGATTCACAAAACTTCAGCCAAAATGTTGAGTAGTGATTTTATATTATTTATTGCGTTTTAATAAAAAAATAAAAATAAAAGATTTTATATAATATCAATCTACTTTTATAAAATATTGATAGTCATAATTAAAGCTTGATTTAAAATAGCTTAGAAATTAAGTTAAGGTGTTTTTGTTTCTTGTAAACTAAATTTATAGTAATAAAGAAGAATTTTTAAAGGTAGAAATATGACTTAAAAAAATAAAACATTTTTGTATACATTTTATATTACTTTAATAAATATTATGTATTGAATGTATGTTATTATATTTTAGGAAGCTGAAAGACTTGAACCAAGTGAAGATCAGTCTACTTACAATTATATAGATTACAGCGATAAAAGATCATTACCAATATCTGTCCCAGATTATCACACAGTTGATAAAGATGGAGACAAATATGTGGTAAGATATTAATATGCTTTTAACTTTTTATAATATATCATGTATCTTAATGGTTAATGAGTAATGATTAAGACTAATTATTATGTTATTCATTAATTATCATACTTTCACGTCTTTAAAACGTAAAAATAAATCAAAAAGTGGAATTTTATATCAGAATTATAAAATATTTGGCACTCAAAAAGAAAATATTAAGATTTCATATTATCATGTATTTTTTAAAATAAAATTGAGTTATTTTTATTAAGCAAATTTTAATTTTAAAAACAAATTTTTTTATTCACCTAAATATCCAAAATGTATATTTTGTAAAATATGATTTATTAGTGTTCTAAGTTTCTTAAAAATATAAAAAATAGTTTTGAATTTGAAATATAATTAGTTTTCTCTTGATATAGTTATATTGTTTTGTATCAAAATCTTTTACTTACATTTTTTTTTTCATTTTGATTAAACCATATTTAACATTTATTTTATCCATTTTAATTGTAGTCATTTGGAAAAAAAGTAAAAAAATTTTTACTAACATAACTACTATTTAGGTGTTTAATATATACATGGCTGGTCGTCACTTATGTTCAAAACGATACAGTGAATTTGCTAATTTACATGCTAACCTCAAAAGAGAGTTTATTGGATATAGTTTTCCTAAGCTTCCAGGAAAGTGGCCATTTACGTAAGTTCTAAATAAAACACTTATATACAATAAATAATGCATTTTTTTTAAATAGGTTAAGTGAACAACAACTTGATTCAAGAAGAAGAGGTTTAGAGTTATATTTGGAAAAAGTATGTGCTGTTCGTGTGATAGCTGAGTGTGAAATTATGCAAGATTTTCTAGCTGATTCCGGCAACATACAGGTAATTATATTAATCTGTTAGACTTTAATATATTTAATATTTTCATTTAATTTTTGTTTACAGAATATTGACTCCATAGTGGATTTAAAAATAATTTTACCTGACCGAGAAATAGTAGTTATTAGAACTAAAAAAAATGCAACAGCTGATAGTGTTTACAACAGTGTTGTCGATAAAATACAAATGGCTGAAAATGTAGCAGATTATTTTTACCTATTTGAAATTGTTGAGTATAACTTTGGTGAGTATCAAAATGTTTTAATGCAATCACATAATATATTTTTATCATTATTTCAAAACATTCAAAATTTGTGTTTTATACATAATTTACTTGTAACACTAATTCATTATATTTTATTAGAAAGAAAAATTCAACCAAATGAAGTTGCTCATCAACTTTATGTTCAAAACTACCGTACAGCTAGTGCTAGTTGTTTATGTATAAAACGATGGCTATTTAACCCTGCCATTGAAATTCGACTTATAGAATCAGATAATTTAGCTGCTACATTTATTTTTTGGAGTACTATAGACGAAGTTGATCGTAATCATATCATTGTAGGAGACCGTTTATATGAATTAAAAGCTTTGCAAGATTCTTCCAAAAAATTAGATGTAATTATTTTTATTATTTTATTTTATCAATTAATGCTAGATGATATTTTTTGAGTTAATTTATAAAGTTTTTGTTGTAATGTGAAATATTAAGTAAAAATTTAAATGTGTATTTTTATAGTATTTAAAAATGGCTAAAGAATTACCTGGTTATGGCGAAGTAATATTTCCACATTGTCCGTGCGACTCTCGAAAGACTGGTCATGTAATGGCAGCTGTTGGTTATTTAGGTCTTAGACTTATAGCATGTACTGAAGATGGTACTCTTGAGGTAATATTAATTAATTGATAATTACCATAGAATAGATATTTATGAAAAAAATGTATACAAATATGCTTAAATATTTTATTAATGAGAAATAATGTTTCATTGAATAAATAAAGTATAATATAAAAAAAAAAAATAATAGAATTGCATTACTAAAATATATTAAATTGCTAAACATATTGTTTAATCTCAAAATATACATATTCTCTTTTAGTAAAATATTTTAATTTAAGTGCTGGATAATTTTAATAAATAGGTTGTTTATTAGTAATACATTGCTGTATTTTGTTTATACATTTTTAATTTTATAAATTAAAAACAAGTATTATAAAAATATAGTAATTTAAATATTAATTCAGTTGGTGACTCCTATAATTATACCAAAATTAAAGTTAAAATAGAAAATATCGTGTAATAAAAAGTATATTTTGGGTATTGATTGGCATTCTTATTTTACATTTTGATAATTTGATACATACATTTAAAAAAATGTAAGTGTATAGTAATATAGAATTAAGAATATCTTGACTGAGAATAACTAGTGGGAGATATTAAAATGGTTGCATTTAGCTACAAAATTTAGCATGTTTGTGAACATTTAAAATAATTTATATTTTTAGTCAAAATCTTGATATTATTTATTTTAAAGTATACAATTATATTTTTTCAATATTTATAATTAAGTAACTAAAATAAATATTAAATAGAACAATAATTAAAATAATACTAGCAAGTACATTAGTCATTGCTTGTTACAGAATCAAATTGTTGAATTTACATGGAAAACTATCAAATGCTGGGAGGTTGATGAAACTAATGGATTATTTAGTTTTCAGTTTCAACGTGAAGAAAAAAGCCCTAAAAGTGTTAAATTACATACTCCTTATGTGAGTATTTTATATTTTGTGAATAACAAAATATTTTTTTTTTTATATTATTGTTATATCATACTAATTTATTTATATCTAATTTTATATGCACTGTTTATATATACAGTTTACATTCCTAGCAGACTGCTTTAATCGAATACAAGAGGAATCATGGAAAATTAAAACACCATAAAACAATAAATTCAAAGTAGTATACATCTTGCGTGTGTATGAAATATTTAATGATATTTTATGATTATATGAAATAAAATACCTAAATAGTATTATTGCAATATATATATATTTATTTTTTTGGTATAAGCTTTGATTGATGAATAATATTCTATTTTCCATTTTATGATCCTCAATTATTTCAAGTTCAACTTTAAACAAAGAATAAAGAAAATGTGATAGTAACAATAGGCACTTTTTAAATTGTTTATTATTTTGAATCTCATTAAAGTCTATTGTTTAGGTTTCTATTTATTAACTAATTAATTTCCCCTTTAAAAAAAATAATAGTAATTATCTAAAAAAAAAAAAACAATTTATTATGAAGTATATTTTTAAGATTAAAATCTTGAAATTTATTTTTTTACTATGTTCAATTTAAATTTACTTTTAATTTTGTTTTACCATTTAGTATGATTTTATTTCATTATAATTTGTAAGTGGGAAAATGTTGAAGTTTTATTTTATTAAATAGAATATAATATGTAATCTGATTAAAAAAAATCTTAAATCTAAAGCTAAAATACATTTTCATTTGAAATTAGTTTTTATAATTATTAAATAAAAACAAATTATCATAATAAATTAGAGAAAATTAAGAATTATAAAATCATTTAAATTAATTATAATGTAACAAATTAAAAGATTTGTTTTTAACTAATAATTTGTTGAATATTTGTAAAATCTAGTTCTTGTTAAACATTCCCAAGCATGATTAGAGTTTTAATGTATGGAATCATATTTTCCACCATTTAAATGTATTCCTTACTAGTTTTCCTGTGATTCTTCTTTCGATCTACTTTTATTTCTTTGTATTGTATTTATATAAAATTGTATTCTGATTAATTGTCTTATTGACATACGTTTTATTTACATTATACATATTCAATAGCTTATGTATAATATGAATATAATTATATTATATTTTTTTCCATCAAATACAATTATAGTGCCAGGATTGTAATTTAGGCCATTCATAAAGCTTCGGTTTTATTTTCAATTGTTTATATCTTAAAACTTTTTAAACAATAATACTTTGTTTTAATAATTATTTATTATATTATTTTATATTATTATTGCAATATGTTATGTTATACTTTGTAATGATTGAAAGACATTTTTTTAAAAAATTATTTTGTAATAGGCACATAATAACTTTTATTCCATTAATTGTATTATACTGAGTGTTTAACAAGTGATCATATGAATATGTTTACATTATTTAATCATTGTGTAATCTTGTTTTGAAATATATATTTTTTTGTTTTATATACCATAATGATAAAATTGTATCTGCAATATTATATATTTTATTTAACACTGTATAATAATTTAATTTTATATCAAGATTTGTTATGAAGTATGACACTATTATCATAAATTATTTTTCAATTTTCTTTATTGTAACCATGAATTATTTTATGTAAATTGAAGATTTAAGTTAACAAGTGATCATCAAGTAGGTGTTATGATCTAAATTAAGCTGTACAAATATGCCCTATTTTTTTAATAGTTAAGTGGAGTAGTAAGTTAACATAAATATTCCGTTAATGCCCTGCTGTTGTCAGTAATTACTAATTATGATGAGTTATACATATGTAACTAGGTACATGAAACTTAATAAAATATATTTTTTTGAAAGTGATGTTTTTGAAAACTTATACTCCATTTGACTTTTGATTATTTTATTTTTCATAACTTTGTCAGCCACTCAGTATTATATATGTTCTAGAATTTTTTTTTTACAATTATGGTTATTATTATTACTATTATTGAGTCTATATAACCACGAAGGTTGTAATATTAAACAACATATATATTTTTTTAAATACATAATAAAATAAATATTCAATATTACCATTTACAATAGATTAATATTATTATGTAGTTATACATATATTATTGTTGTGTATGATAACTTGTTTTGAAGGTCATCCACTCAGTTACCATTTCATAGATCTATGAGTATGTAGTTAATTTATCAACGTGCAGTATTAAAACGCTTGTGGACAGAGCTGTATGCATTATTGGTATTAATCAGTTTAACTAGATAAATTCTTAATACTTAGGAATATTCTATTGAATAAATTGACAATGGAAAATAAAAACTTCACACTTGCCGAAACTATCGATCTACGTAATAAATATATCGGGTAAGTGCTATTTTTAAAATGTAGAGTTAATTTGTTTTTTTTTTTTGACAATTGTCCAATGTTTTTGTCGTATTTTTTAACATCATATGACCGTCGTGCGCATACCTACCGGGTATTCGAAATTATTAAAATTTAATTTGTGTATTTAAAAGTTAATACGTTGGTAACAAGTTACAACTATCGTTATTTTTTCTGTGGTTTTTTAAGCTAAACCTCAAGAATTCTTGACTGTCTTGTAACTATGTCTTCATAGGTTAATTTAAAATTTTCGGCTAATAAATAATAAGATTTTGTTTGATTAAGTTATTTTTTAATTAAATATTTCTTCTTTTAAACTTGTTACAACATCAAATGTATTATAAACCTGTATACGTCAAGTAGGGAATAAATAATAATCCGTTAAGTGAATTTTTTTGAATTTTTGAATTACTAGAACCTTCATATTAATAAAAATTAATGAATATATTTCCTAAAAGTGAAAAAATTTTAAAATACATTTTTTGAAATATTTATTTTGGATTAGGTTTTCATCAACTTTATAATTTTTACTTGATTTAAATTAACAAAATAAATATAGACATGTACACCAATTATAATAAAATAATAAAATCGTACGAGTTTTTTTTTAAATTTATCAATCTAATTAATTTTTGATTGATACAAAAATATTCTTTGTTTCTTATACATATAAATAAGTTTGTTTATAAATATATTTTTTTTAGGAAATCTTGCGAATTGTATTATAAGAAGAGCCCTTTGAAAATCGTTCGTGGTCATGCACAATATTTGTACGATCAAGATGGAAAAGAATATTTGGATTGCATCAATAACGTTATCCATGGTATGACTTTAATAAGCATTAGTAGAATTTAGGCCACAATCATATTTATGATAAATGAATGAAGTGGATACTAACAAAATATTTGCATTAAAATAATAGAATAATTCGTAGATAATTATTAATTGTTTAATTAATTACGTATAAAATAAACTGAATGGGAAATGGGGTACAAGCTCACGTTCATTCTCTTAAGTAAACCTTTGCAGGTGCAATGTCTTTATTAATTTTTTTTGTGCAAATATTGATTGGAAAATTTTATCATATTATCGCAGACATTATAGATTCCGGTTGAGAAATTATTGGTTTTGTAATTTGAAAAGTTTTTTTATCAGAAGGAAGCGTCACACGCATGCTTTATTATTCTTATATTGTGTATTTTCTATGTCTACTTATTATTGGACAACGCTCATTTTTACGTGTCTGAATTGAATGTTGTCTTAATTTTTATCGAATGGAAATGATCATAATTTTTTTTTTTTTAATTGATCTTGAGCCCAGCAACTAAAATTATTAGCTGGCTTTGTGAAGGTACGGTAGGTTTTTAGATTGTGTAGGATTTATGGGGTTATTATTTACGTGTGTGTAGAGTTAGTCTTAGGTAGAGGTCAGCGGGTCCCCTGCTTCTACCTCATGCTTTTGTATGACATTCCGGGCCTCGTGTTAATGAAATTGTACATTATTTTATACTTTACAAAAAGGTCTTTACTATAGGCCTTAACTAAAAAAATTTCCCTCAGGCCTCGCTTCACTCTAAGGCCGGTTCTGCGCGTGTGTCTGTGTGTGCCATGGATTTGTTGGTAAGAAACCGGGTGGTCATCCATCTGAGAGTGTTAGCGACACCGGCCGATGCTTGAGCTGAGGACACTATACTGACAGAGGCCAACCATCGCATTAAACCAGGCCACAGATCATAGTTTATAAATCTTAAAAATGAAAGAATCCAATATAAATGTAATACTTACATTTTATAATTTTACAAACTATCATGCAGTAGGTATATGTCTTAGTTAATATTTGCATACAAGTTTAACATTTTTTGACTATTTCTGTTGTCTATATTCGGTACCTATATCCTATACCTTATATACAATATAGGTATATTAATACACATAAAATATATTTATTATAATTTATAATTTAAAATTTACTATAACCCGTAATGAATTATTAATGTTTGTAGGTACTATATTATTTACTATAGCTGTAAATTGCTATAAAGATTTCTATATTTTAGATTTATTATTTATAGGCTAGGTATATTAAAATATGATATTTAACTAAGAAATTATTGATAAATTCAACTAAAATTAAATAAGTAGGTGTAAATAATTTTAATTATAATCATAGTTTAAGGTGATTTGATATGTTAAACTTTGTATAACTTTTCAATAACTGCCATAGTGGAAGAAATAGGTAGGTAAACTCTGTAAACTTTTAAAGGTTTATATCGGAAATTCAAATACTTGAATTATCATAAAAGTTATTATGACCAATTCTATACTTGCCTATATTTTAGATTTATATTATAGACAACACGTGTAACTTTTAAGGACCTTTCACCAGTATTTTTAGTTGTATGACCTAAAAATCTTTGCATATAGTGAATCAAACAAAAGTTACTACGTCAATGTTTAAAATATATCTAGTCACGTAGACCGTAGGTACTTATAAAGTTTCAATGTTACAGTTTTATAGGGATTTTTTTTATATTATCTTACCAACGATTATTGTGTTTACGATTTTATCTAAATTATATAATATGTACCTACCTATTAATTAATTCAAAGTTCAAAGAAAACAATATTATTTATCGCTGTGTGTTAATTTGTGAATGTGCATTATATATTTATCTTGCATAAGTATCTATATTAAATAATAATATAATGCACGAAAACTTCCTTATACTACAGCTAAATAGTATAGTCATATCGTTTCTAAAGTATTGTATCTTTGGTTCTTACAATTCTGACGTAGGTTATAATTGTCTGTTAAATTATTGACTTTGTTTTGAAAACGCTGGATTTCCACTAATAAATACCCTTTGCACACAAATACACAATATAAAATGTAATATAATTTACCTATAGTTTCCCTATTACATTACACATACAACAACATAGCATACATTTTATTACCTATGTGCTGACGCTTAAATTAAAATATATCTATTGTATAATGGTTATTTATCACATTAAATAAAAATAAAAATATTATTTATTAAATATAATGATAGTTAAGTATAAAAATATTTTTACACTTCAACAAAATTACTTACCTATTTAAAAGTATTTAAGGCAATTGCTTTATAAAAGTATGTTCATGACGTCATTGGCAAATTACTTTTATTAATAATTTTGCCATTTTAATTTTATAAAAATCGTTTTTTTGAATTGTATTATTTTAGATTGAAGCAATTAGTGTATTGATTTTACAGTTATGTGTTTTATTTAAATTTTGTTAGTTTTTCTTGATACCTATATTATGTTGATGTGTACATATTTTTCATTTATACAACTTAGAAACGGTTCTTTAAAGGTTTTTCTTATGCAAATAAAATGTATAGAAAATACATAGATTATTTTTTAGAAGTGTTTGATGTTTAAATTTTGACGAAATCATCAAAATCATAAAAATTTTTAAATTTTTAATTTTATTCTAATTAATAGAGCTTGGATGTTAATGACCGAAATTTTATTAAAACACGCATTAAAAAATATCAAAATATGTATTTATATGCGATAAAATATATTAAACATATTTATTTTCTTGATCAAATTTTTTCAAAAAAGGGTTAATATTAATTCATAAAAAATTATATACTTTATTGGATGTGTATTTAAAATTAAGTACTCTATTAAAAAATACACAACTATTAAATATGAAAAAAAGTATTAATTAGTTTTCGATCTACGAGTACCTATTTAAGTTAAATTTTTCATAGGTAAGGCACTTTAAGTATTAGGATTATTTAATGTTGGCGTCTTTTTCTTTGATTTAATGTATGCTCATGCTTTGAAGTTGTGTTGTGTTACTAAAAACTGTTTAGTTGTAGATATTTTAACTTCATTGGATTTGCAAAATAATATTTTATCATTAGAACTAAATATTCCTTAAACTCTTTCACAAAACTACACATTTTTTGGCTTTTTGTTAGTATATACTAACAAAAGGCATATATTTTTTTAAATGCGAATTAGAAAAATTTTTTAAATGGAGCATACAAAATGTGAACTGCAGCAAACAACGAATAAATGAAAATCATCAAAAACAATATTCAATATTAAATGTGCCATGATCTCGTCGTAATCTTGTGTTGTAAATAAATATTTAATTTCCAAATTTTTTTCGGGTCTTACTTTTAAACATAATTAACAACGATGATTAAAATTAAATGGAAAATTTTTAATATTATGCTTATAATTTATAAAATATATGCATTTATATGCTCAAACATGTCAATTATTCAAAATAAGTTTGTAATCTAGACTTTACGAATCAAATATATATCGTACTCGGGTATAATTTTGGTTACTCTAAAAAATATGCATAGTTATAAACATTCGAGCTTTACTAATTAGGTTTAAAAAATGGAGTACCTTCAATAGATTCCTAAAGTTTGACGTATTAAAAATTAAAACACCACATTATGATATATCTGAAAATTTAAATACTGAAGAGTGCTAGAAGGAAATCCGATAAATACCTATATTAATTTTTAATTCTGATAATTATTAATATCTATATTATACTTCAATGTTTATTGTTTCCTTATCTGAATAAAAGTGTTATTGTTCATTATTATAATTTATTTGTACCTAATATTATCGAGCTACGATAAAGAACATTAAAAGATTATGAATTATACAATTATTCTTAATATTTATGTATCATAGATATTATTTGTATTTACGTTTAGAATACTTTAATCTTTACCTAAAGTACCTACCTATGATATACCTTTATGCGAACTAAAGATTGCAGGAATAGTATTCATGCCATTAGTAAACACATATTGGGTAGGTATATAATTTGGTACTGTTTGGATTTGCCAAATTCAACTTATGTTTAAACTGATAACGATCGTTATATTATGATAGTAAAGAAAAAGCCAAAACATTTATTATAATATGATTTGTAAATTAGAATTAACAATTAATGTTTTGCTACGTATTATTATATGATTTAAAGGGTTATATATACATATAAGTGTTTTATTGGCAATAATATTTGTCAGCCCAAATGTGCGTATAGTAGATATAACTTTTGTATTAATATTTTTTGGTAAATGACACATTAACTCTCTAAAACTATAATACAAATTTGTATTTACATTTATGTATAGTTTGTAAATAATGTTATGTATAATAATATTATATTTATAGTATGATGTTTAATTTTTAATCTTAATTTTTGTATTGTTTTGAATAAACAAACTCACACTCTGGTGTAGACTGTAGCTAGTTCTATGAGACATAGAAACTTTTCTTAAGATTTTAGATGTTGGTAAAACCAAATACCTAGGGAGGTGCTGTGTTTTTTTATGAATTTTATTTGAAAAAATAAATTAGAATAGTCTATATAAATAAAGTTGTTCGAAATTTTTTATTTGGAAATAAAAATTTATTTTTAATTGTTTTTCATACAAAAATAAATAATTTTCTTTTAAGTTTTTGATCTGGTAAAAAATACGTACAAAAGAGAATAATTTTTGTGGTTCTTAAGTGAAGTGAGCCGCCTTGCATGGCGAGGCATTGTGCAATTGTTACGTGTGGCCATTTTAACACAATTTTCCGTAAAAAAAGTTCATATTCGTAGTTATGTCTAACGTCTATTATGTTTTATTTACAGTTGGTCACTGTCATCCAGACGTGGTGAGAGCGGGTGTGGAGCAAATGCAACAGTTGAATGTCAACAGCAGGTTTCTGCATGATAATCTGGTGTTGTGTGCGAAGAAGCTTGTATCGAAAATGCCAGAACAATTATCAGTTTGTTTTTTCGTCAATTCTGGTTCCGAAGCAAATGACTTGGCATTGAGATTGGCTCGGCAACACTCCGGAAACACTGACATAATCACTCTGGATCAGTAAGTACCTAATAAGTATTTGTTGTAATGCTTTATGATATAATTTACAATTAATAATTATAAAAGTTCACGTCTCATTGCCTCCGTTGTTTATAAGTGGACATAATATTTAGGCATTTGTATAGCAGGTTAACTACCACAAAATTAAAATACATATCTATAATTGATTATTTATTATTAGCACATTTTTTTTATTGGTGATTAAAGATTATGAAAACTACGTATAATAAAAATAATTAAACCAAATTATCAAATAAAAATTCATTAAAGAACACGAATTAACTGTTAAAAATATATCTAACTTTTATTCTATAGATAACATTACTATTGAAATTGTGTGTACTTATACGGTCATAATAAACTGTAGAATAGTAGGCCATTTGATGTGAATTCTGTGTTTGTTCTGTTGACACTGCTTATAAGACCACGATTTCGAGTCTAAGAAGAGACTAAATTTTATATCCGTAAGTCTTGGTGACCATTGAATTGGCTCCCGAGACAGGCAATATTGAATTGGCTCCCAATATAATTTTTAAAAAGTGGTTCTCAAAATATAAAAGTTGTGGTTAAGATTAGACGATTCCCATACAACATTTTCTTGGTTACTAATTCTCAAATAAGCTTTGCATCCTCGTTTAGTACATTTGAATCGTTTAAATCCATTTTGGAGAAGCTTATGGTAGCTGAATTTAAATTTATTAGCTATTAAAATTAATTCTTCCTTTTCACTTGTCATTATTTCAACCAAATTAATTTTATATTCTATGTATAGGTACGAATTACAAAAAATTGCAACGAACTGCGACGGATACGAACTGCGAATACTGCAATTACTGCATTTAATGATATCAGTGAAATACTGTATTATACCTATATAGGTTGTATAAATACGTCAATAGTTGTGACCGTTATCGGATTAATGAATTGATAATTTCAAGACTATAACCGACACTGTGTCACTAAAATATTACAGTCGTGTACTTTTTCAACTTTTATATTTTTAACGTATAGACGTACGTATAGTTGAATTTATTTTCAAACAATTTTGATAACCAATGGATTTATAAAATATATGTGTAGGGAGCCAACTCAATGCATAAATCTTAGGAGCCAATTAAATACGTAAAAATGATGATTACCTGAGTTAGGGAGCCAATTCAATAGCTCCGAAAATGGTCTGGAACGGTCCGGACGTAACCACGTAACCAAATAAATTAAAAAAAAGTGGCAAGTGGGTACCACTCTGCTGTACATTAGGGGGTGGGGGTGAACCTCGGACTAGGATAGATTAAATTTGAATGCAATGATAGGTATCATTGTATTTGTATACGAAAAACGATTCTGAACGGAGATGATTTGTCAACATTCATAGATATTCTCTAATATATATGAAAACATTTCGTAACCACAATAATCATCTCGTATAATACATATAGGTATATACATTTTATTATTTTACTGTAGGATTATTATATATATATTATAATCTGTGGTACAATTAAAGTGAAAATTTAAAATTTTTAAATTTCCGTGGTTTATGTTTTAATCGCTTGAATACACTAAAATTTAATTCTTTTATAATTATTGTAAGCTAAATTTATGGAAAATTTTGTATTAAATTTTAACTCTTAGCTACTTATAAAAAAATTTTTATGAATTATACCTACCTACAAAATAGTTTGCAAATATTTATGGTTTGGACGAATTTTTGTCAATATTTGAACTTCAAATGCTAATAAAAAAAAATTGTGCCTATGTATTCTTAAAATTTTTGATCACTATAAGAATAACTTATGAGGAAATTTTTATTAAATTTTCAAGTATTTTGATTGGGCCAAAAAAATTTTATCGACACTTCAAAAAAAAATTTTCAGAAAAATTGAAAATTTCAGTTGTTTATAAATTGCTCAAAAAAAGTCAAAATATTTTGAAAATTAAATCACGCAAAGAAAATGCCAATTTAAATAACTGGTAAAATTTTCAAGTATCTACGACTTATACTTTTTGAATATCAACAAATATTTAAAATCGTTTGAAGATAAATCGTTATTGTTACGCTATTTCGTAAAATTTAAAATTCAAACGCACTTAAAATTTTTCCTATAATGATGCTTCGAGTTTTTACTAAAGCTACTTGAAGGAAAACTTAGGGAAAACATAGTGTAGTATTTTTAATCCTTAGTTATAAATACAAACAATTTTATGATTTTTCAGCTTCAAAATTACTTACAAATTTTCGCGTTTTCGATAGATTTCGTAAATATTTGAACTATAAACGTTTATAAAAAAAAATTATGACTAACGATTTTTAATTTTTTTTTAGTTACAATAAGAACAACTCATAAGAAAACTTGTATTAAATTTTCAAAATTTTTTGGTCATCCAACATTTTTTTATAGACATTTCAAAAAAAAATTCTCATAAAAATCAATAATTTCAGTAGTTTATAAATAACTCAAAAAATGTCAAATTTTTTGAAAATTAAACTGTATATAGATAACACTAACATAAACATTAGGTCAACATTTCAAGTATTTATAGTGATTAGTTTATGAATTACAATCATATAAAAAAATCGATTTAGTCGAAAACTGGTTATATGTAAAAATTCCCATTTTTTCGTCATTTTTTTTTTTTGTTTTTCTCAATTTTTTTGAAGACTGTTGGAAAATGTTTACTTTTTACTTCTATATAATGCACCAAGGATATTCACTTTGCCATCGGAAACCACCCCCGAAGTTTGGAATTGAAGCATTATTTCGACTACTTATGCTGTACACAGACACACAAAAAAAAAACACACACATCATTGTAAAATCAATACATTCATCACTCCGTTCAGAATCTAAAATTCGGTTATAAGATTAAAATTTCGTAAAATGAGGTATTAAATGAAGACATTATTGATAACATTTTGAAATTAATTAGTTTTTAAAACTTTTTTTTGTTGTAAATTCTGGTGGAATATAAATTGTTCAAAAATGTTATCCACATGACAGCTGATAAGTAATAGATAAATTACCTTATTAGGGTCGGCCTGAGATATTATGGCGTCGTTGGAAAATTTAAACAAGTGTTTAAAAAAGTGCCTTTCAAAATATTCTTTACATATTATTATATTAAATATTTAATTTTATTTAACATTTTTTGTTTAAAATTACTTATATTTATATATGTATAAAGTGTAGGTTTCAATAATTTGTCCACAAATATCAATAAATATGTTATAATTATTTATTTAATACAATAATTTACTATATAGTTATTATAATAGGTAGGTAGGTAGGTACATGTTTTTATAATATTTATTTTATGTTAATGTCTATCATGTTAGTTAATCATATAGAGTACTATAAACATTTTTATTGCTTTATACAATTTTCAATGAATGTATCATTATTTTTAAAATTTTTCCTTTGATTTAAAATCTGTAAAATTTGTATTATTTCTTAAAATATAATTTAGTAACTATATCATTTTCAATACTAATTAATGAAGAATTGTTATAACATTATTTTGTCATTGTAAATCTTAAGTACGTTTTTATTAACCTTAACTTATTAAAACTTCTCTCTCAGCTTGCAGTCGTTACTAGAATTGTCATCATGATTTTAAAAGCGATCCAAATGTTCGGTAAAGCATCTTGTAGTTTATCATTTAATAAATGACAAAATTTCCACTAGATAGTTATTTTTTTTAAGTGAGTAACCTAATTCAAACAATATAAAAATAAGATTGGTTGAGATAATGAAAATTTATTATTAAAAGTAAAATCGTTCTATGATAATATTATGATTCGTCTATTTTATTTATAGGATATATTTATATTTGATTCAATAAAATAATTTTACCTTTGTCCTTTGATAATCTTTTGCCTAATTCTGTGTAGTACTTCGATTGAGAATTTAACTAGGTATATGAATTAAGTAAAATAATATTTACCTGTAGAAATATTAAACTTTTACAAATAATTAAATTGGTAGGTATATTGAATGTTATACTATTATTATAATTTAGTTTTTTACTAGTGAATAGTTTTATTTAATTTTATTCTTATTGTTAATTGTTTAATATAAAAATTACCATATAAACTTATTTCTGATTTTAGTTTTAATTTTTTATGAGGTTCAACAAATCAATAATAAATAGAAAAACATATCATCTGATAAATTTTATTATTGTTAAACAATATTTTATTTAATAGTACAAATTAATTTTTTTTTAAATATTACACAGTTCATCATATTTTATTGTGCTATACTGATTAAGTTCGATGTGAGTATTTAAATTACATTACTGCAAACATTGTATTTAGGTATGCTATCTTTGTATGCATAAAAATAAGAGTGATAGGACTATTCTATGTATAACAATATTACCTATTTTTTATGTTTAAGGTGTGAAAGGTTAAAATTATAATATCTAGCTACTAATCTATTGATATGATAAATTACGTATAATTAATCATTATTATCGAAAAAATATATCGTAATGAGTTTAATGAATTAAATGTATATAATTAAAAAAATTGTTGAGTCTTGATGTGTTTAATGGTATATTATGTGTTGTTGTTTTCTTTGATATAAGTTGTAATATAGTAATCAAGATTTGACTCTTAGTTGCAGTTTTATAGGAATATTATGGCTCACAAATAGTATTCAACAACAGAAGTCATGTCCTTATAATATAGTTACATACGATAATACTTCGCACAGATAAGATTGTTTATGTCTTATTTTTTCAGTGTTTATCTGTGTAGTAATTAAACTTTGATTTATAATACGGTTCAGTTTTCAGTCACCAAAATTGCGGTTGTAGACACATTATAATAATCACTGATATTAGTCAATTAAACTACAATTTTATATTTTATATTAATTATAATATACTGGTCACTGGGTTATTCTTTTAATAGTAAACATTCATTAACTCAACAGATAATAACATTGTTTGATATTTATTTTTTATATAATTCAAAGACATTACTAAACTGTATTTGGTTTTATAAATTCTTTATTGTGTTATATTTTGTAATTATGGTTGGAGTTTTAATAAAATGTTATATTTCTAGTTTTTTAAAAGATTATAGCTTCATAAGTGAATTATTTTTTTTATGTATAGTTGATTAATTTATTGATATATAAAAAGATTTTTTAGGGTGTTTTATTAAGTTTTAGAACTTTTTTATAGTTAAGTTTTGAACAGAACGTAATTTAGTATTTTAAAATTTAAAACGTCTACTAAAAAAAAAATCCATTGTTGTAAGAATAATGTGATTCTATTAAATATTTTTTTTTAAATTATAAGAAAACAATAATTTTTAACTCATATTTATAGTTCATATTTTAATAATTTTAATATAGTTTTTATTTTTTGCATCTTTTTAAGGTATTAAAATCCCAGCCATGGTTATAATTTTCGAGTTTTTACTATTTGAATTACATCAAAAATTTTAATTTCGTATTTTAAAGCAGAATATTATTTTTAATATTTAATTAAATGAAATATTAATTTTAAACGAGTTAAAGTAATTAAAGTTTAAAAGCACAAGATTCTTAAAATGTGTGATTAATTACTCTGTTTTTTATCTGATTTTTAAGGACTAATTAACTATTTGTTTAAAGGTTAGGTTTTGGTTTTAAATTTTAATAATTATAATAATTTTTAGAAAAAATAAGCGGCTTCAGAACATTGAAAACATTAATGTTTTTTTTTTTTTTAAAGTTAATATTTTTTGGTATAATTTAGTGTTTGCTATCAAATAAATCACTCTATACATATGTTTATGGATGTTTAGTTCATTACTTTAATATGATTAAAAATCATTGCTCTAATAAAATCTGTCTTGTACCTGTATTGATTTATGGCTTCAAAGTTCATGATGACATAATAAACGAGGTATAATCTGTCCCTAATTTATTATAATTATGCATATACATTATACATATTAAATACAAATACATTATTTATGTAAATTGTTAACTATTGAGTTTATATGGTTAGAAAATTGGAAGTTTGATGAATAAAAAACTATTTATTTTACAAAATACGTATACAGTTATATCTTAGACTTAAATAAAATATTTAAATATGTTTTAGTGCGTACCATGGTCATTTGAATTCACTAATTGATATTTCACCATATAAACTAAATTTGCCAGGAGCACCAAAAAAACCAGATTACGTGCACATAGTATGTATTTAAAAAATAAAACATTCCATAATATTACTTATAAATTATGATAAATGATTTTGACGTCTTTTTAGTTAGTTTTAGATTTATTATCTACGAAGAAAGAATGTATATTAATATTTATTTAAAACAAATATTTTAATTATCTTTTATTAAGCTTTGCCCTTTTATTATATAGTAAAATTTGTTTGTATAGTTTTTTGACTTTTTTTTTAAATATAATATTAACAGTTTTAATTAAAAAAAATCTTACATTTTGTATTTAAGGTTATTCGCCTGTGTTAGCCTGATTAAAATTTAAAAAATACCTTGAAATTTTCTTTCTTAACAGTTTAAATTTTAATCATTGAAAAATGTTCAAAAATAACAATATGAAACAACAATATAAAATGTAGAATTTTAATTCAAAGTCATTCATATAATTTTGATCTAACCATTAACCACTAAAATGATTTTAAAGTTTGTATTGTATATAATATATAAACATACACACATTTATACATATTTTTAATCGATATATTTTTATTATTTTATAGGCTCCTGTTCCGGATGTATATAGAGGTAAAATTAGAGCTGACGATCATCCCGATGAGGATATAGGAAAGTTGTATGCATTGGAAGTTAAAAAGATTATTGATCAAAATGTGATCGAACAACGTGGTCAAAAAGTATGTGCTTTTATAGCAGAAAGCTTACAAAGTTGTGGTGGCCAAATTATATTACCACATAATTATCTACGAAATGTTTACAAGTAAGCGATTTTAATCTAAATAGGGTTTGAAAGACAATATAAATATTAAATAGTTACACGTTATTGGTTTTGATTATATTAATTTATTATTAACATAATCAAAGACAAAACATAAATAACAATAATATTTTTATTTTTTTGTTTACGTATAATATAGACTAACATGATACTATTAAATATTTAAAACATATTGAGTTAATTAAAACTTGGATAATATTATAATCATTTAAAATGATTTTAATGTTTTTATATGAATCCAAGGTTAAATGTAGTAATTTGTCAATTAATTGTCATTGTGTATGCACTATCAAATAGACACATAGTTAGCATTATCATGATTTCTTATAATTGTAGAATATTTTGATTTCAATAGTGAACCATAAGTTGTATATACACTATGCCAATAGAATATTATTTAACAATATTAAAATGTATTAAAATAATGTAATGTAACTGTGATTACTAAAAATATCTAATGTTGATTAAAGACCTCCTTAAAGTTAAATTAAAAAATTCATCGTTTGGCGATATCAGTTTTTTTTTTTTAATCGTGTTTGATAAAATGACATTTTAAATTAAACTATATGTGGGAATGTAAATACTTTATAATGTTACTTAAGGGATCAATGGGCAGTGTAATTAAAGAGTATAAATTTTGATTTTAGATATGTAAGAGAAGCCGGCGGTGTGTGCATTGCTGATGAAGTTCAAGTAGGATTTGGTCGATCGGGTTCGCATTATTGGGCGTTCCAGATCGACGGAGCGGACATTATACCCGATATCGTGACTATGGGCAAGCCCATGGGCAATGGACATCCAGTTGCAGCCGTTATCACTACAGAAGCAGTAGCCCGTAGCTTTGAAGCTACTGGCATTGCATATTTCAATACGGTGAGTAAAAATGCGTATTTGTTTGGGTATAAGTTGTGAATTGAGTAACAATCAACTTTTATTGAATTCATGTTAAGTTTACAGAAATCCTATAATTTTAACGATTATTTATTGGTCAACATTGTTCAGTGAAAAGCTGAATTTTAAAAATAAAAATCTTACTTATATTAGTGTTTTTTAATGAAACGTCCACAATATTTAGTTGGTACATGAGTTTGTTAGCATCTCTATAGGTATGTGTTACTGTAGGTCAATTGTAGAATATCTGACAATTTTATGTATTATCTGGGTGTTTTTGGAAATTATAAATGACCAATTAAATTTTGAATGAAAATTTATTAAAGAATGACCTATTTTCCATGGGAAATATGGATTTTTAAAAATATATTTATACAATATATTTTAGGTATTTTTGGTATTTGTGTATCAGTTTTTTTTTTTTGAGTCATGCAAACATTTAAAAACTTTTGAAACTTAATGAATTTGTGTTAAATGTCTTATATTTTAGATGATTATAATTATATCCTCGATAATAATTCTAGTATAGATATCTTTATTTTCACGATCTTAATACTTCTGAATTTTCAAAATATAAATTGCTGGTTAGTTACTTTTGTTTAAGTTATCTACATATTGTATTTGATATTATTTTTATTTTTTTTTACTCATAAAATGATGAAAAAAACTAAAACACATATTACTAAGATAGTAGTTAATAACATATTCTGCGTAATCTGATGTGAAATCTCTTGTTTGAAGAAATTTTAGTTAAATATTGATTATTATGTATTTATATATGAAATGAAGAATTTCTAAGCATTATAAATGAAGCGTTAAGCTATTAGACAACTTTGTATCTCAAAGTAGCATGGAAGTTATCTATGTTTCAATAAATAATAATAAAATATCTCATTTTTTGAAAAAATATGTTTTTTTTTTATTAATCATAACAGCATTTAATAACCTGTAAGTGCACATTTTTATAACAAACGAAAGTGATGTGAGAGTAGATAGTTATTTAGATTAAAATGAAGAATCTATCCATTGATGAAATTTCATGATATGTGCGAAATAAAATGTTATTTAAATATTATTATAATATTTTTTATAATTAATAACTTTTTTGTTAGTTTTAGTTATGTTTCAATAACCATTTACAATTAAAAATATTATTTCATATTTTACTAGTTTATTATTTGCTAGATATTGGTCATTGTACAAAATTTCCGCGGACCATTAATGATAATTTTAACGTTGTGTACCTACAACGCATTGTATATTGACTAGTTTTTAAAATGTCTATACTATAAGTATATAGGAGCGGTCGGTAATTGGGAAACTTTTTATCTACCCGAAAAAAATTATTTATTTACTTTTTACTACCCGGAGATTGGATCACAAATGTATAATACAGGAATATACGAGTATATAACTTTATTAACTAATTTTTTTTTTAATACATAAAAATACAATGTTTTTAAATAATACCATTCAGATTTTACTAATTTTATATAAAATAAGGTACATAAAATCTATCAAATAATTGTAAATATTTTTTTCCTAATACATAAAAATACAATTATTTATTTTAAATAATATGAGTAATATAACACAGATTTTACAAATTCAAATCTCGGTTTTTTCCTTCTTCGTATTTTTAATTTCAATGAGAATACAATTTTTTTGAATTAAAGTTCATTTTTTGGTTTTTATTGTTCTTACGTTATTTTAGTTTTAATATAAACTTTCGATTAAACTCCCAATAAAATATTTAAAAAATTATGAATAGTTGGATGTGACTTATAAAAATAATTTTTTAAATTCAAACGGCATTTGTAGTTCGAATTATAGATTCAAACCGTAACTCTCATATATGCAGAGGGAAAATAACATTGTCACAAATGTAAGTGTCAAAAATATAATCTAAAAGTGTCGTTAATTAACTGAATTATAATATAATACTAAATGTGGATAGTATAGTTGGCAATAAACTTAACGATCATGATGTTTTACAATTTTTGTGAATTACGCTTTTGGCTATTTTTATCCATTTTATTTGGTGGCGGCCTTTACTAATTCTATATCATTTAATATTGGATACTTTATTACCTTTTGATAATGCATGCGGTCGCTTCGAATAAAGTTTTGTGTGTACTGAAATGTTAGATATTGTAGTAATTTATATGTGACGTATTAAATTAAATATTATTTTATTTTAATTTAAAATTTAATAGTGGCCCGATTACCGGATACAATAATAAAAATTGTTGAAAATAGTGGTCCAATCATTGGGTCTACCTATTATACATGTAAAATAGAAGTGACCTAATTACCGTATACCTCTTTGAAAAAAGGTTAATTGTGGCTCAATTCCTGATAAAATATTATATACGATATCAAAAGTTAGATAGTATATAATCCGTATTAATTTCAGATTCACGATAATCGTATCAACACGTTTATATACAATAATTCATTACTTATTATTTATAAAAACATATTAATTGAATAATCCTATTATTTTATTATTATGTATTTTTTTAATAAAATGTTCATGTATATATCAATAACAGATTATTTATATAGCTCTGCTAATCTATTCTAAGTTAAGGGTAAAAAAATACTTGTGTGGTTTTTAGTATGGTGGGAATCCTGTATCGTGCGCCATAGCAATCGCTGTCATGAAAGCCATTGACGACGAAAATTTGATGGAAAATGCCAAAGACGTGGGCGGGTATCTGTTATCTAAACTCAAAAATATGCAACGGAAGTTTCCGGACGTGATCGGTGATGTCCGCGGTTTCGGACTGTTCGTTGGTATTGAACTGATAAAGGATCCGAAAACTAAGGCTCCGGCCACGGCAGAAACCCGAGAGATCGTTGACAGGTAATAAGAGCAGCTAATGTTGTTTATTGTGAGTAGGTCACCCCCGGAGCTTTGATATTATTTATTTTTTTGTTAGGAAATATTATGGTCTTGTTTGAATTCACGAATTTTAAACAAAATTATAAACGTAGCTAAATTACTCATAATAATAATCATTGTACAAACCTATTTATAATCTATATAAACATAATTCACAGAGTCAAATTCCAGTCCTGAAAAACTTTCACCTCGTAGACTAATATGTATATTTTAAAATATTATTTAAATAATTAAATGTATTTATGTTGTATTTGTATTTAAAAGCTCATTGGGAATTTTATTTAAATAATTTTTCATATTAATTTTAAAATATCCATTGGAAACTTATAAAGTAGATATAAGTTGGTAGATATTCAAAATATTTAAAGTATTTTTAACAAGTACCTATGCATTTTTCCAAGTATACATTACCGGTGAACGGTGAAGTGAGTAAAATACACATATATCTTAGGTAGTGAAATGTTTTTGCTGTGAAAATAAAGAGCACATGCCGTCCTAAAGATTTTATATACGTGTGATATGATAAAATATTACGGGAACATAATATTAATTAAAACCATAGTTTTTTGTCAAACGGTTCTTGAAATATTTAGTAGAACATAATTTTTTAACGCACAAATCGTGTTTCAGAATGAAAAGCGTTGAAAGAGTATTGATTAGCTGTGATGGACCTGATTCAAATGTCATCAAACTTAAACCACCAATGGTGTTCACCAGAGCCAATGCCGACCAATTACTTAAGCCACTTGAGGCAATGATATCAGAAATCAGGACACAGCGGTTTTAAAGGCTGTGATTTATTTTTTATTGCTATTTGCTTAATGTTTACGTAGTTCGATGAATTTGTAATAATTTTATTTTTTAGATAGCTAGGGTATCTTATGCTTATTTATAAATATGTACATATATATGACGTGTATAACTACAAATATAATATGACGAGAATTTAAATACTGATTTTAATTTTTAATTTTAAAACTGATTATTGTTTATATGTATAGAAGTACGTTTATTGATGTTTGTTTGTGTAATTTGTTTTAATTGGTTTATTAGTTGACAAGTCAATGCGGGATAATTTTATGTAATTTCGAAAAAAATTGCACGATTCGTTAGTTGACATTGATAAGCCCTGAACCGTACAAATACATAATAATTGATTTAATTATTAACGTTTCTTAGACTTTTTTTGTTACAATAAAGTAGGTATTTTAAGGAAACAGTATGCTAACATTTATTGCAAAGAAAAAGTTCTTATAATAATTGCAAATTTAAGAAGGGTTATCTCTCAGATTTTGTTCTGCATAATTGGATGGTAATTGAATTCGTATTGCATCGAGACGTGCTATGACAATATCGCATTTCTTATGAACGTCGTCTAATGCATTTTCAAGTAGATCTACTCTCTTGATCAACCTGAAACCTTATTATTTATAAAACAGCTCGGTAAAAATAATTTAGATAATGTACTTGCCATTTGGTATCTGATTCATCAAAAGTCTTATCTTCGGGATCTTTATTATCTAAAAACCAATTCATATATTATTTTTAAATATATATTTTATAAAAAACCGTATATAATTTATTAAGTACTAGATGGATAACTCGACTTAATAATAGTGTGCGATTTTCGAATACAACCATAGTTATTTATAGAAGTTGAAAAACAAAGCAAAATCATTTCATCAGTTTCAAGTAATAGATGGGTAATTTGTAAACTACTTTAAGTTGTTGAAGTTATTAATTTTAAAATTAAAAGTTTTTTGTGTAACATGGCGTTAACTTTTCTCGGGAAATAGAATGTAAACCATTATTTTGTTTAAAATGATAAATCTTAATTTAATATATATTCTAATAAATACGTATGCTTAATCTGTTCAGTTCATTTTCGCATTTACCAACTGTTACAATTAAAAAAAATATATATGGTTTTAAAAATATTATTTTTTCAATATAATACACTAAGTTGTTTTCGAACAAAGTTTTTTTTTAAAAATCGTAACGGTTTCTGAGTGCCAAGATGGACTGATTATAAACTTAATTTAGACAGAAAACCGGCCAAAACGTCAAGTGTTGTTAACATATAAAAAAGTGAACTATTAGTAATAGCCAGTAATAGGCATAGTAGTTACCTATTATCAAAAAAATGGCAATAGACTGTTATGATCGAAAATACAGTTTAAAAAATAAAATAATAATAATAAAATGTGTACTTGATTCTGGTACGTTTTTCAATACGTCCCGGAACATCTGTCTAGCTTCGTCTTCGTGTACTGTCTTTTGTGGTTCGATCCCGTATCTAGTGAGAGTATTTTCTACTTCAGAGTCCGTAAAACCACAGCTGCAAAACAAGGTTAGGTTAAACATTTTACGTTATAGCTTATAGCGTTAATTAATCATCTATGCAATTGATCTTTGAAATTAGTTGTCATTATTCTTAGGTATAGCGTGGTATAGCTGGTAGTCAAGCATAGTTAATATAGTTATACATGGTGATCCATTCAACTTGCGACACTAACTGTTATAATTTTTTTAGAAAAAAGTAATGTTTTTAAAAATATTGATATAACATTATTGTAAGTCATCAAAAATAAAAAAAATTCACTGTTTTTATCGTTTCTTTTTTTTAAAGTTTTTTTGTTCTTTTAAATGTCATCATACATTGATTTAATTTTATGTTCTGAAGCAAAATATTATTCGGAGTATTTTGATCCATGAAAATCATGTTTTGGATATATGGTATATTGGTTATAATAGTATTTAACATTTTTACAAATAGAGTAGTGGATCAACATTTGCGGGGTACCCCATGTCCAATCCACTCTGCTCATCAAAACTTTAAATGCTAATAAATCATAAGTTATAACTCATTAACTATACTAGTCCAAAATTCGATTTTCATTTATCGAAATACTCAAAAAAAAATATTCTGCTTTGGAATGAAAAATTTAACATACGTTTAAAAAATTTAAAAATTAATAACGATAAAAAGAGTTAAAATTATGACGTATATGTATTAAATTTTTTTTTTTTAATTAATGATTGTATTATGTTAAATAGATTAGGTACCCGGTAAAATATAGTTGGGATTTAAGAGAACCGCTTAGTAATATCACGAATATGCCCCATATGCATAGTAGGGGGTTGAAAGTACGAGTAATAAGACTTGTACAAATGCCTACTTTGTCTACCCTTTTAAATCCACATAAACACACACCTTATTCCTATATACACATCATAATACCATATTCTACCGTTTCAGTGTCTTGTAAACGTTCTGATAGGTAATACGGCGATCCAGTTCGTCTTTCAGCCGGTCAAAGCGACGTTGTGCCGCCCATTTATCGAAACCTATCTTGGCGAGCACGCGGTCTACGAACGCCGATATCTTGTCACTCACGTACAGTTGTCGGCCTTCCAATGACTGTTCGACGTCCACGTCGAAATACGCGTGAAACACGATCGCCACAAGCATCGTCTGGAAAACAAGAGCGAGTGAAATAATAATATCACTGCGTAAACAGACACGGAGTGATATTATTATTTAACACACAAGGATAATCGTATAACTGGTATAGGTACGGGTGTGATGAGCGAAAATGTTTTTTTAACTACAACAACCACGTGATCAGGTATACCACGCTGGTAACGATTTAATAGAAAAAAATAAGTATAGAACTAATGTAAAGACTGCCATCCAAAACTGATAAATGAAAAGTATTATTAACTTTGAATTAACTACCAATTGAATAATTGAATTTGTTCAAAAAACTGATAGTCTTAGTGAAAATTTTGTAAATCAACAAACCGGGACCAGTACTAAACATATTGAATGTTTATGGTTTATTACAAAATAAAAATGTGGTATAATGTTGTTCTCCTTATGGATGAAAAACAGTTGAAAGAAGAATGATGCGGAGGTATGTACATCCATCAGATGATTCAAAATTCTAAGATTTTCAAAGTGACATGAAAGAAATCTATCGTGAAGAATTAATAATGCTTGTTTTTATATCATAAAAACAATATATAATATATTTTTATTATACGAGTATATCAATATTTTTAGATCCTAAAATGTTTTTATAGTTTTTTAATTTTTTAACATTTTTATTTTTTTTATTGAATTTTTAATGATGTTAATTTGATTGATATATTTTTATAAATTATTAGTACGTATTTCGATGTTTTAATTAATTGTAGACTCGCAGGGGAGAGAGCATTATCCTGAAAAAGGTATAAAATATAGTGTGTACGTATTTATAATAATTATATAATTACCAAGAGAACGAATACCACCACACACGTGAAAAATACGAAGAAAAATGTGGTGAACCAAGCATCTGCGTCTTGGAGTGTCTGGTAGTCGAAGTCTCTCATCAGTATTCTGAGCGACGAAAGAACAGAATCATACATGGTCGAGAATCCTTTTACCTGTTTAATAAGTGAGAGTATATTAGAGAAAAAACAAAGAAATAAATGACAGTGTCTATGTATTTAATTATGTATATTATATATATATATATATAAATATTATGTGAATTTGAGAAGGTATAAATTTATGAGTTTGTTAACGTCATTTAAATATTGTAATATCCTTATTAGTAAAAAAAAAACATTTTAGATAATAACTGATTTTATTTTTATAAACGTTACTTAACCTTAAATTTAAGACAGTAACTCTTGTATTATGCATAATAATACGATAAGATAAATAATTATTATTTTATACGGTCCTAATTCGAATACATTTAATTTTATATGTACAGACGCAATTCAGATAAATTTAAAACTGTAATTACTTTTGGACCCAACTTGGATGCAGTTATTTTCTTGTTTATCATTTAATTTATATAAAAAATACTTAGATATATAATCATTTTTTAACACTTATAATTTGTATTTTTATGATAGTAATAAGGATTATCAGGTTGGAAGCCATACTACTGAAACTTGTTACACAAATAAGTAACATGAGATATAGAAAAAAAGTATATTTGCTTAGAATCCTAACCGGGTCCTAATTACCTGTGATCCATATGCAAAATAACCGAGAGTTGCGAATGAGCTCACAACAAAAACCATCATCACCAGGTATCCCGCGACGATTTTGAGGCACTGAAATGAAAACAACAATTTATTGTATTATAAACTACATTTAATGTGAATATTATTATACTTTTTAGTAGCGTTTGAATAATTTATAACAGATCTGTATTGTAGATAACTTATAACTAGTGGTGGTGGTGGATTTATTAATCGATTATTGAGTTAAATAAGCAACCTAAAAATGTTTGAGATCAAGATTGTTCATAATGAAATTTTTCAAAATTCGAAACCAAAAAATAAAAAGTAATGGAATAAAAAAGTGATACACTGATACAGTGATACCTTACATCGTTAATGACTTGGGAGTTAATTTTGATTCTAAACTTTCATTTAAAAATCATGTTGATTATTAAAAAAACAAATAATTTATGAAATGAGGTTTAATGAAACGTATGTGTACAGATTTTAACGATGATTCAGGTTTAAAAATGTTATACTATTCTCTTGTTCGGTCTAAATTTGAACATTTATCCTTAATTTAGCATATAGATAGTATTCTGTGAGACTAAAAAATTAATGTTTAACATCTATTCAAAACAATTTTTGAAGATATTTATGGTATAAACGTAGTTTTCAAAGAATTCCTCTATAGGATATGATGATTTAAATTGTTATTTTAAAATAATATCATTAAACAATAGGATTACTGGACTTAAAATTTTTATTTAAATTAGTTCATAGTCATATTATTATTTGTCCTGAATTTATTAAATGTTTAAATTTAAAAAAAAATTAATTCTTTTAATTTTAGAAATAAACCTGTTATCTATCCTTAACATGCTTTCTAATATATATAAAATGTACTCTCTTACTAATAAACTAATGTCAGTTGGTAATTTTCTATGTAATATTGATTTATTTCATACATCAATCACCGAATTAACGGCATCATTATATTTATAGTAATTAAGAATTTTCACTTTTATGTGTATTTATTTGTAAACTTGAGGCATAATTTATGAAGTGTATGAATAAAGTTGAAGGGTTAATCTCATTGGACATATGTACATTAGATATGAGAAATATTATACTATAACAGAATGAAATAACCTGTTGGTTATAGACAACCCCTCTTGGCCCCACTAAATGAGATATTCCACTGAATATGATATTAAATCGATCGCTGGTTATTTGTATGATATGTAATAATACGATAATTTAAAATGTAATATTATTTACCCTGCCCACGCTTAAGTATACGATGGTCATCGACCTGTTCAGGTCAGTGTACTTAATGACTTTAACACACACAAGGAAGAACAAATAAGCTGTCAGTTGTACAAGGATTTCATGCCTTGCTATCAGGTATTCTACTGACATACGATTTCTTACGGTTTTCGCGATCGCGTTCTCCGGACTGCTGCCCGATGAAGACCTCTCCTTGTATATGATCATCGACGCCACTTCGATGGCCCACCATCCTAACTGGAGCAGCGTTTTACAATTATCATGTTTTAATTATTATTGTTTGTACAAAATATAATATAATTAATGATAAACAAAAAAATAAAGATGATGGCAACTTTTATTACAAAGTAAAAAAAAAAAAAACACGGCTATATTTAATAATTATGTATGAATATGACGTAATTTATTCAAGATACTTTGTCATTTGAAGGGTGTACTAGCCGTGTATTGTTTTCGTACACCCATGTTTCGAATACATTTTTTGTTTTGTTTTTTGCACTCACAAGTTAATGGTTTGTTTCAAGTACGATGAGATACAAATATATATATTAATAATAGTATAGCGCGTAGCTACGTTAAATATAAATATAATCAATCACCTGTTTATGGAAAAAATGTAAAGACTTACGGCCACGATGCTGAAATCGACGTAGTTCCAGAATATAGAGGCATAATCCATTCTAAAGTACATAATTTCAAATATTTCTTCCACCGTGAAATAAACGATGAACCCGACGACGGCAAGCATGCCGATCAACGTCGACACCGAATCGGCCACAGCGTATCTGTAAAGTTTGACGGTCCGAAATGAAGACGATGAAACGATACCGCCGGACGCCGGAAATTCAAACACTAGTCTGTGGGTACGTCGGAACGTTAAAATTGAATTAATGACAACCGAATAACACATCAATAATATTAATATAACAGAGGTTTATCGAGTGGAATGACTTGGACAATGGTGGATAGTGCAGCGGGTCAATAGTGCAATGTATAGCTGTAGCTTTTTTTATATTTGGGCTACATATACATATTTGTATTACGTTACGCAGATATCGACAAATGGTAATTAGGGTGTACCGTGTACGTAAAGGGTAAGGGGTCCTGAAATGATAAAAATAAATACCTATGTAATTGTTTAACATTTAATATTTTATTGCACCTATTATGGTAATTGAATATAATTTTTAAATTAGTGTGCTTTTTATGTTGAGTCAATTATTGCCATGTAAATGGACTAATGGGCCGTATAAAAATGCTCAACGACCACAGGTTAAGTATATATGAACGTATATACAGTAATTATAAATTACAGTACGGTAATAACTAATACCTGATGCGCGTATACACGTTTTGTTCTGTTCTACACGTATAGGTGGGCGGGAAATAAATTAAAAATAAGTCCGTACTTGACAGCACAAACCACGTTTATGTTGCAGTTGTAAATAGCGAAATCCACGAAAACGACTCTGGTGCCGCGATTCAACCACGTGTCGTGTTCGAGGTCACTGATTATCGTTTTCGCATCAATTTTGTTTTTTGGAAAATCGAAATAAAACCCGCCGGTTCCGTAGGACGCAATTTCGCCTTGGTAGAACACGCCTTGAGTCTTCGAGCCGTCAGAATAAACCCATCTATACGCAAAAATTAAATGATGTAGTCAATCAGTATCATTCATTTAAGTATAAGTACTTATTTATGTTTTACAATTTTGTTATTCTAAATAATATCGAGATGTGATCGGAGAGCCACGTCTGCTGTACTCATAAAATTTACCATCGTTTAACTTATAATTGCAGATACAGGGAAATTATTCAACTTTTATTATCCATCATAACAGGATCAAGTAAATTATTTTAGTATTTTTAAAAGGAGAAAACTATTCAAAATTTTTATTCTTTTTTTTCTAAAACTTTTTCCCGCAAAAAAACGAAGAACTAAGGAATATCAAAAAGTTAAGCTAACAAGCGATCAGAGCATAAAACTTTCCGAAATAATTCTCCACAGGATATTTTAATATCAATGAATCAATAGTAGTAGTAGACGATACAACTTACTGTGTTCCTTTTTTTGGTCCAAAACTCGTTTTGTCTTCATATTTAATGTCGTATGGTACATAGCAGTCCTGGAACAATCCTTTGAATTGGTTTCTGATTGCACAGTGTCCTTCTTCGACCCTGACCTATAGTAATACAACAAATATTTTTACCTATTGTTTTATTTTTCGGATATATTTCTGCGTACAGTTATATTGGTTCGGTTCGTAGTACCGTTTTAAATTATTATTTTTTTTTTTAATAAGAAACAACGACCGATCATCGCGTATAATACAAGCAGCCACAATTATGGGTATGGTTTTAGGTAACTACGACGTGATAATATTGTTGAGAAGTCATCGAAAAACAAACACTAAATGAGACGCCGCCGGTACGGTCATATAACGCGAGATGTGAGCAGTCGTATATTTATATAATGGGAATCTTGCGTAGGACCTACCGCGTACCTAATCCTCTATACGCACCGACGCGTGCGTCCATAAATCCCGACGGGCTTATAACATAGGTACTCCTTAAGACCATGCGTAATACCGTGTTAGATAATAATGGATGTAGATACTTTTTTTTTGTTTTGGAAATAGACATAGGTATCTACCAACGCGCCGTACCACTTATTATATTATACAGAGTGTCCAAAATTCTTACACCGTTTATCATCTTCAATAACACAGTTATTCAAAACACGATTTTTTAATTTTTTAAATATATTCAAAGACCATATTTTCGATATCTTAAGATATTTTGTGTCTCGCGGAGATGTAGGCTTCTGTTTGTCAAATAACAACCTAAGTACTTTTTGAGTTATTTAAGTTTGTGCATTAAGGATAATAAATTCACAATAATGAGCGTAGATAATATGGTTATTCGAAAATTTTATTAATTTATATTAAATTATCAGTATTTATTTTAAGAGTATTTATTCTTTGTTTAAGCATTTTAATAAATTAAAAATTAATCGTTTGAATTTTAAATTAGGTACCTACATCAAAATTAAAAAAAAAAAAAATTATCCACTAAATAACCTACAGTAACAAAATGAGTTTGATATTATCACAAGACACTGAAGTAGTGCAAAGAATCTCAAGAATTTGAAAATATAGTCTTTAAGTATATATTTAAAAATTTCAAAAATTAAAACTTGAACTAATTCATAATCAGATGAAAAAATGGGGGTGAGCATGCTTGGTGAATCATTCTGTATACTCATTGCTGTACACGATACATCGCGGTAAATACATATATTTATATACACATATGTGCTTCTGATGAGATTCATGTGCTTGTAATAATAAATGATAATTGTTAACCGCGCGTGTTTATTGTGTAAATGTTATAGAAGAAAAACAGGAAGGTACCTATGGTAAAAATACCTTACTTATAGGTGCGACGAACGTCGTGGCAGTCGTGTATGCACCCGTGCCATATTATGTGTTGGGGTAGTTATCTTTTATTGTGGTAATTAAATTAAGTTACGAATTACCTTTCAAAATTGTAATTAAATTCAAAATTATTAAATTACTTTTTTTTATTTGGTCAAGTTGCATTACTTTTTATTTATTTTTTTCAAAAATATCATAATTGGAGCTTAATAATTATTGTCAATAATTCAATAATTATGTAATGATGACAATCAATAATATGGTATTATTAACAGACATTAATTTTGCTCTAATACAATTTTTTTTTGGGATTCCATTCCAAAAGTAATATTTTTTTTTTTTTGTCAAATAATAATGAAAACAATGTATACACTGTCATAAAATTCTATTTATATGATATATTTACATTTTATTATCAATTAATTCTTAAAATGTATTAAAAAAAAAAATGAATAAATAATGAGTAATTAAGTAATTTTATTGCAAAAAGTAGCTGAAATTACTTATAAAATGTAATTAAATTGCCATAAAACTACTTAAAAAGTTATTTTTTTTACACTAACTTATAACTTGTGTTAAGTAAGTTAAGTTACTTCCCAACGCTGTACAATATACTTATATAAATTATAATAATTTAGGAACGTTAAATATTAAAATACCTGTCTCACTCTGGGTCTGAACAGAAATTTGTTTTCGTACAGTAACTCGGTACCGTTTTCCTTTTCGACGCCTGTGGGAATTTCATACAATTTGTCGCACAACACGCTGTGAAAGTACTGTACAAAAATGAAATGTCGTATTATAGGTATGTTTTCGTCAGTATGTACCGCACAAATATAATATATAATGACGTGGTGTTGGGTATAACACTGCACTTGGCAGTTTGGGGTTTTCTCGATGAGTGGATTGAGATTACGTGTTATACCTGCCAAAAGTGCGACATAGTGATGATGTCGTTGAATTTGATGGACACGTCGTAATCGTCGTCCGAGTACGTCGAGAAAGTAGGTTCCATGAATAACGACGATATTTCCTTGTTGATCACGAACGTCTCGTATGAGTACAGACTGGAACATGCTGTATCGCGGTGTATCAATTGTTAATAATAATTTACTGTTATTATTATTGATAAATAAACACTGCAGTGACGTATCTGAAGCTCCATCGTGTTGTGTGCGTGTGTGTGATGTGAGGAGGAGGTAGTAGTGGGTTAATAATTTTTTCGAATAACTTTTTGAAAATTTCTTTTTTTTTAACAATTATATTATTTTTTATTTAATTAAGTGGTAATTCGAAAATTTAAAAATTTAATTATTAAACATAAAAAAAAAACAACCTTAAGGACGAAATCTTCTGCAGAAGAGGGATGATCCATAATTGAACGCTCGCTCAAATACGCTACTGTCTTATAATACATATATCTACAACTATCGACCATAGGTGAGTTTTTTGTAGTATTATTTATATGCGGCTCTCGATCTATGCTTACATGTGAAGAAAATTACAAAAAACACAGCGTAAATTACTAGTTCTTTGATTGTAAGTTTGATGTACAATTCACGATCGTTTTGATCCAGAGCGATTTGGCGGGTCTTCCATATGACTGCAAATCGAAATGCGCGTTAGATTCGATATATCATAATTTATTTTCGTTCTAAATTTGCTAATTAAAATGTGTGTAAATGTATAATCTTGAATAGTTATAATATAGTTTATAGTATATAGTTATATAATTATTTCTGATGTATTACATTGTAATATGATGGTTGTTACTTATATCAATAAGCATCTTGACGGGATAGACATTCATTTGAATATATCATAATATGAGATATTATTATTATAACTATTATATCTTATAATAATATAGAGTCTCAGTGAGCAGGTCTAATTCCACTGAGAACTCTCCCCATCCACTGTTTAATTAAATTATATTAGGAATATTATGTTTGCATGACACACGTCTGTATTCAAATTTGACTTGTCTTAAAAGTCAAGCGAGCTGGAAAGTGTACTTATAGATAGTAGAGAGTTGTGCCGGATTATTGTCGCAAGTCATAACTCTACTTCTAATTATTTTAATATTTTATGCTATATAGTGTGTATAAAGATAAAGGTAGCATGATAAATATTTTGAATGCATGACTGAATTTGATTCGTGTTTTTTCACTGTATAAAGAACGTATTAATTATTATTACATTACCGTTTAACTTCTTATTTTGGTGTTTGTGCAGTAAAAAAAAATGTTAATGGAAATTTTAATTCACCCTTGAGTTTGAATTTGAATTACATTTATGAAAAAATATTTTTAAGTTAATATATTTTTATCTTAAATATAAACAGATTATAAGGGTTTAAATTTAAAAGGTTTTGATTTATACATGTGTATATTTATCGCATTTTCCAACAGTCTATACCTACAGTTATAAAAATTTTAATAATGAAATGTAATTTATTAATTTTATTGATCTTTAAAAATTTTAAACTCATTCAAAATCAATAAATTTTTACAGTAAAAAAAAATTGTTTTCATAATATTTTAAGTCGTTACAAAATAACATTTTTGAATGTAAATTATATTTTTACTTTTTTTTATTGTTGTTAACAATTCGAAAATTTCGTAAAGAATAAACATGATTAATAAATGTTGTCTAAATCAATATTTTTTAACTGAAACAATTTTATGTGAGATATTATATAATATATAATATTTACTCTAATAAAGAATTTATAACTTTGTAGATTTGGTGGTATTATACGAAATGATGTGCAAACAGACAAAGTAACTTCTGTATATTGTGTACTTGTATTATTTAAATAAGTTTATTCTTATCGGTGGATAATATATTAGAAGAGTTAGTGCAGATAAACATTTGAACGTCGTAAAATTAAAAAGCCAAGTTTTCCCATTAAACGTGTAATCTTTAACACCAAAAGTAAATTAAAGATAAATCGAAGTCCTTCATAAGTCATAAATCAAAAATTACATTAATATGCGGGACATAGATGAGTGCTATATAATACTCTGTTTGCTACCTTTTTGAAGCATATAGCGTTATTTCTATTATGTATAATGTACATGTAGCATGTATTACTGTCGAACAAGCGGAAAAATACATAAAATAAATAAATAATACAAATATTTAATTTAAATAAGGAATGACGAATGGTTTCAAATAAATATAATTTAATTTAAAAATAGTTTATATACTTAATTCATAATTTTACTATATTATAGCTTTTTATTTTTTATTTAAATTTAATTGGAGTAAAAGTTAGGTATTTATTCTGAGATATAAGGTTTAATTATATTTTTGATTTAAGTAGCTAAAGTTAAGTAAAAAAAAAAGTAACTTATATAATGTTGCTATATTCACTCAAATGTCGGTATAATATTTATTACTCATTGAGAAAAAAGTTACCCTTGCATAAAAAAAATCTTTGAATGTATTTTTTATATTTATTGTTAAGAAAAACTTTTTTTATTATTTTTAAATCTAATTTAAATAATTTAGGTATGCATTTTATTTATTATTTAATGAAATGTATACGATCAATTAAAATGTAACTCTTCAACTAATATTCATAAATTAATAATAAAATAAGTAACTTACGAAAGTGACAGAGTTATTAATTTCCATAACTTTAGATTTATAATGAAATACAAAAGCCGTGTAGGTAGTTTAAAAAAAAAAAACAAATAAACAGTAATAATACACTGTGTTTATTAAATTAGAGCTGTAAACTAGAGTGAATTGTGTCACCACGAAGTCGTAAATATAATATTATAATATACACGAGTTCTTGTTTAGAAATTTATGATAATTATATAACCATGGTATATTGTAATATTTTTTTCAAAAATTACATACCTACCAAATAAAATTGGTTAAATATTGCATATTTTTGCCAGCTTTTTATTTGACGTATAAATAAAATACAGTTTCAATGTGAATGTGAAATGTACATTAATATACAAAAATATTGTAATATACATTAATTTTTATTAATGATGTGATGATAAAGTTATTTACAAACCATTATATTTTCATTTCTTATGTAGTTAAACTTTAATAATTATCACCAATTGCGATAGTATATTTTTATAACTCTGATATTTATGTATTTTAATAGGCAATAAAATTATTATAAAAAGTCGTGCGGACAACGCGTGTTATTGAATATATGTTATTATTCACAAATAAATTAAATATTTCACGTACTCAAATGTATAATTTAACAAGGTAAAGATTATGTGTATAAAACGAAATACTTTTTTTTGGTGTGTGTGTGAAATATTTCACATATGTTTAACATAGCAATGATTTTGTAGAATTGAAATTTACAGTTGAATAAAAATATATTTATTTATATAAATAGTATAATATAATAAATGATAATAGTTGATTGATAGATAAATACTGTTAGAATATTTTTTTTCCCGATTTCAAACTACCTATACAATATAATAAATAACATTAGTTGTATAAATATTTTTCAATGATGCCTTATGGTAGGTTTTATGTATGTGTACTAATTAAACTAGCCCATAAAAATAATGCGTTTCTATTTTAATTTTTTTTTTTTGAAATGTTAACAAGAATTCATAATTTTTATTATATCTTAACTAATAAGTCTAATACAAGAAATGAAATAATTAAAAAATGTGACATGTGCATTGTGTAAAGTTCATCATGATGATTAAACCAAAAACCCTGTGTTAAGGATGCTATTTGGACGGATTTTAAGAGTTAGTACGTTATATTATAGAAGTTAATTGACTGTTGTAACTTATAACTGTATAGGTACTTGTTATTTAAATCGTAACTTTTAACAGTCGAAATTATATCTAGGTACCGAATCCGACCGGGGTACTGGTAACACAATATATACCACCTACCTTTGGGTCGTACGATCGGATCTGACGGTTGTCCCGGATCGTCGATTGCCGTGAACGAACTACTGGCCGACATGATACGATATTATTGTAAGGACATCGATACAAAAAAAATCGGAATAATAATATAATAACGATGATATGCGTATACACATATCGCTGAATAATCACCGTCGAAAATATAATAATAACAATATTATAACGTACAGTTTATCCGGACCCCGCGTATTGTTGTCACGCTGCCGTCGCTCGCGACGTATCGTATAATCAGATGTTTAATGTTTACATTATACCAGTATTTTTTTTTTTCACATTTTTCCTGGGACCTACATAATAATAATATAAGCTATTTGTTTGTTTAACCACAACATACGCCAACGGGCTCGTCTCTCGGACACCAGTGAAACGGTGGCGGGGAAAAAGGTCGTTACCGATTTAATAAGATCTATAATTCATATATTCTGGTCCCCTTGGTGCACGCACACATCCGAGTCCTAATAGACTTTTCGGGACGGGTTTGCTGCGGGTGGAGCGTGGTGGGGTGCGGGAGTTCTAGCCATTATTTATGCCTTTTGGACCCTTGGTGACAATAGAGAAACACCCCATATACCCGCGTTATAATAATAATAATAATAATAATAATAACAATAATAATATATATACATTGTCATTTCTCGCGCGGTTTTACGACCGCCAGGCCGCCGCATTAACATACATATTATTATTATTATGAGCAATAATTACGAGCGTTTATATAAGACCCCGTCGACGGCCAGTTTTGCATTTCGATCTCGCTTGTTTCTTTTGCGATACATGTAAGTATAATATAATATTATGCGCTTGTTATACGTCGTAATGTATATACGCTATGCAAGTTTCATAGTCACGTCTGAAACCTCGTCCTGATCCCCGGGTGAAAGGAAGTCGATTGCGAAAACGCCTACCTATATAATAATGTATCGTTTAGAACGGTCTACTCTGTATACACAATAATATATATTTAGTTGCGTATGCACTGCAGTGTATAATCGCATCTGCAATGTATATTATTATACGACCCTCTTCCACGATTTATGAGCTCCGATTTCTCGTTAAAAGTCAATT